CAAGGAAGTGCTGATCAAGTGGAAGAATCTACCTGAGTATGAAGAGATATGGGAAGCCTACAGTACTATCCAGAGGCAGTTCCCTAATTTCCACCTTGAGGACAAGATGACTTTTTGGGAGGAGAGTATTGATGTAACTGTGAACCCCACCTGCTTAGCAGAATTCCAAGAGCCAAAAAGGCTCTTGTTTTGTAGGTCCCAACACCCATTTCATACCTACAAGAGGAGAAGGAATAAGGGAAGATCAATGGAGAAATGTGAGGTGCATTTATGATGGGATTAGGACTGATTCTAAGGGGGAAAGTTTGTATGATGGGAGGGGGGGGGATTATGTGAAGAAATTTCTGGAGTAGCTTTCTTAGCTGTTTTGCATTCCTAATTGCTGCTAGGAATTGTGGGAGAGACAATCCACTTCTCGAATAGTGAATCAACTTTTATCTTTTATTTCTTTGCTTGGAGATTAATAATTACAGCCCCTTGTTATTATTTCTTGATTTATTTAGAGTACGTTCGCTGTTTTTTTGAATAAATATTAACTTGATGGCAAAGTGAAAAAGGAATTTACGACATAGTCAGATCATAAACAATAGCATGCATATGAACAAATGTTGGCAGCAACCTGGTGATACATTTTATTGAATAAATACCATCTGATAGACAATCACCTTTCACAGAAAGTAAGTTTTGGTAATAAAGTTGGTATACGCATAGGCTGTGATTGGGTGCCAAGATTTGAGAGAAAGGAAATGTAAAAAAAGGATTGAAAAGCTTAAATTAATGTATGTTGATCCAAAATCAACGAATAAATTATTGGGATTCCATTTCATTTCATTTCTTCCTTTTACCATGGTGAATATATTGGACTATATCTAAGATAAAAAGGGTAAAATTACCCTTTTTCGATTCAATTCTTGAAGAGCAAAACAGGGATAAAACCTGAAACCTACCATATTGAATAAGGTACAAAATTTTACTAGAGTTTCCTCTTTAAATTCAATTTTAGCCTAATCACGTTCTTTCTTATAATCATAATCAATCATGGTTGTTAATGCAAACGCAATACTATATTTCTCTTGGGATACATTGACATGTTGATTCAGAATTGACTCAACCATGCACACAAAGAGATGAAAATAAAAAATGTTCATAAAAGACTTAAGATGGAATTATCAAATATCAAGATGTAGGCATTAAAACGTATGAAACCTAAAATAAGAATTGAAAAGAGCTAAATTCCTGCCTATACTAGACTTACAGTTAGGGCATGTACTGCAGATGGCAAAGATGCACAAAAAGACAGGTAAATAGAATGAATAAAAAAGAATTAGGTAAAAATACTCGCAAATAGTATACTTAACGGCATATGTAACACTCAATAATTTATAAAAATAACTCCTTACTGGTTAAGCATTACAAAGAAGTGTCTACTTAAATGAAAAAAAAAAAAAAAAACTATAATGAACATATGTAAGGTTTTGGTCAAAATTTTCAAAACATAAATTGCTTGGTTTTTCAATCAAAGCACACCTCTGGCTAACTCATTTACATTAGACTAAACATTTTGACTAAAGAATTTCTACTCCTCCCAAGTTGTAAATAGGCAGGCAGATAGTACATGCACCAACGCATTGAATTTTAATTCTTTGCTATCATTCATTGATCTACATATTTTAAGACTTTTAGGCACCTTAAATGAAAAAATTATTATGCCGGTGGCCGAATGTAACTCTACATGTAGACTATGATGCACCGATATGGACACGGCGACACGGACACGACACGGGACACGGCAATTTTAAAAAATATAGGACACGGGTGCGGCGTGGACACGGCATAATAATTTTTTAATATAATATATAAAAATTAAAGTGACATTATTGTAAAAATGTCAAGCAATAATAAATCAATTTCATGATAATTGATAACTTGTTTAGCTTATAACATAAAGATGTTTAGTACAAAATGTCTAGTACAAACACAAAAATATAAGCAAAAAACCATTTAATACAACATAAAGGTCTACTCAATAGAGGGAATGATAAAATTAGATTCAGATGTTGGTCTTTGGCCTTCAATATCATCATCATTGAATATCATTGCTTCCAACTCTGGTTCATCTAGAGAAAGATTTGCAACCTCCAATAATCCCATATCATCAAGGCACTCGAACTCATCTCCAGCAACATCCCACATCTTGTTATCACCTGTCATATAAAGTGGGGTTTTTCTTGATAGAAGACGAAGATTTGTATGCACATAAACTAAATTTTCAGCACGTTGTGGAGTTATTTTATTCCTCTTCATTGAATGAATAAATGAGTATGTGCTCCAATTTCTCTCACAACATGAAGAGGATGATACTTGACCAAGAAGTTTTATTGCTATTGTTTGAAGAAGCGGTGCTGAAGCTCCATGAATCAACCACCACATTTTTGGATCCATCCTTCATCTATCAACCAAAGATTCTTGATCACCAAAATCCTCTAAATATCCAAAGAACTTTGCAAGTTATATATTAATTTTTCTTCTCTCCTCATCATTTAAATCCACTTACAGGTCTTGGCTCTCTTGCGTGCAGAAGGTGCTCTGTTTGGCCTTGATTGCGAACTTTGCCTCGAATGACAGCAGAAATAATGCAAGAACGAAGGAATGAGAAAGACGAGCTCTGCTTGGCCGAGCAGAAATGACGAAGGAACGGGAGGCAAAGGCAGTGGGCTCCGTTTGGCGTCGACTGCGAGCTCTCCCGGTCTGCCCTAGAAGATTTCTTTCGTGGATCGAAAAAATAGGGCTTCTCGTTCGCGGAAAAGGCTAAATAGAACAGACGATTTTATCATTTAATAACCGGATACGCGTGTTCGACACGCGTGTCCGATTTAATTTTTAATGTTTTAAATTCCGACACTCCAATGCCGTGTCGGACACGTGTCCATGCCGTGTCCGACGTGTGTCCGTGTCCGACACTGCATACCCTCTTTAAGAGGCGTGTCGGTGCATCATAGCATGCAGAGTTCAATAGTGGGCTGACATGGGCAAAAGAATTAATATCCTTTTATTTTTTACTTGAACCCAAACCCAACCCGAGAAACCGAACAAATTGGCAAGACTTTTATGTTCAATCATTCATAATAGATGAGTAAGGATTTTAAAGTAGACTTTTCATATCCCGTATCCTAGTTATGCTGTGAAGAAATTTACATCCTTCCAATGCCCTTGTGAGTACATCATAGTAGCCACTTCCATCGCCATTTGAAACTTTGTCCAACAGCTCAGTTTGCAGTGTCATCTGCTTATTTCTAATGCAACTCCAGCATCACTTGCTGACTTGTAGTCGAGCCAAATAGTTCAAGCTAGTTGAACTGTATGGTTTCAAGTAATATCTTTCTTGAAAGAATATCTACATGATTGATGTTTTAGGTTTAACTTGAACAAAAAAAAAAAATTTATGTGTAATAGTATATTTGAAGCACTTATGTTTTATATCAATACATATGTGAACTATTTAGACATTTTATTAACAAATACATAATATAGCTTATTATTGTGGAAAAATTGTCATCATCTCCATATACTATATTATTGAATAATTTTTATTATTCGAAATAAAAGGTTAGCTATTTGTGCTAAATGAATGTATCTCATTATGTACTCATGATTTATATGAGAAATTAGAAATGATAGTGGATTAAATAGCAAGGTGCTTCACAACAACATTAATGACCCCACATGCGAAAATATATATATATATATATATCCAATATTGTCATCCATAATTCATATTATTATTTGAAAAAGCCAACTAAATGATTCAATGGTTTCTACAAATAAAAATTCCACACTGAAAAGAACATTTTACCAGTGAATTTTAACACCAAGAAGTGGAGCACACACAAAATTTTATTTATCAAGTCTATTGCTTATATTAAAAAAGTGACATCTCCAAAGAAATCATAATAGCTCTCTCTTCATGCTATCAATCCTAAAAAAAATCATCAACCTATCAAATTCATCAATCTGAATATCTCATACAAAAATGTTAGCATGTGCTTGTCTTTCTTTAAAAAATTATCTCAAAAAACTAGTATAATTATTCTCTATTCTAACCCTTTTCTCCTTTTGATAAAATTATATGTATCTCCCTTCAAAAATCCAACATTTTCTGTTCCACCAACTGCTTCAGCAAGCTAAAAGAATGCATTAATGGTTCTAATTCCAGCTTCTGTAATTGTCTTCAACACAACAGCATTTTCAAAAGTGATTGCCTTATGAGATCTTAGAAGGTGTTAGCCTTTTAACTTTGCTAGGGCATGATTATAGCTTTGGAAAATTTTAAAAAAATTTCCATTATCATCCTCATCTACATTAAAAAGTTAATATGGATGCATGAAAAAACTAGGGAAGATAAATTAAAGAATGATTATATTAAAAGAATAATTTGAGTGATATCTATTATCTATTAAAGATAAGTTAATGAAAAATAAACTTAAATGGCCTTGATATGTACAACAAATGGTAAATAATATGCTCATTAAATGAGTGGGCAAAAGTAGTTTAAGATGATTAGAAAGAAGAGGTAAACTTAAACTTACATGGATAGAATTTATTTAAATTGATTTCTAAATAACAGGTTTAACCCTTTAGATAACACTCAACAAGAATAAATGAATAACAAAATTATAGAGTCAACCCTAAATAGTTGGGATATATATATATATATATATATTTGTGAAAAGAAGTGAGCAACGCATGCTCAACAAATTCAAGGCTTCAAGTTCACAAATCAATAAAGAAATGTCCTTAGTCAGAAATATAATATATATTCAGCTGAAAGGTCATTTTCCTGGCAAAACTCAAAATAATAGTTAAGATTGTTTGCACATCTCAGAGCTTGAAATCATAAGATAATTCACCAAAATAATTTCAAATGGACATGGGCAGCAACTTTTTAAATCAGAAACAAAATAAGACAAAATTGCATATTATCAATTTTTTTAAGTAAATACCTGATTAAGCATCCATTTCAAGCCAACAGCACCAGTGCATTCATTCTTAGAGGAACTGCTATACCAATCCAAGTTGTATACCTTATCTAAGGTGGCTGTGATAGTAGAAATGTTGCTTCGCCTTTCTTTTACAGAAAATATCTCACCATTTGAGCTGATATTGATGTGGCTATTTAACAATGTCTCAAACCAACCACTACCAGACCTTTGCATTGATAATATAGCAAAATACCGAACTGGGGTACATGCACACTCATCTCTGCCAATTAAGCTAGAAAAAATGTTAACAAATGGGTACTGATTTCAACAAAATAAAATACAAACCAGCAGAAAAACATCCTAGCTACCTGTTATACGTGGTCGGTTCTGGGTAGTGAATGTAATGTAGTTCAGATGCAGGAATGTCAGGGCGCCGACAAGGTTCATTCATAATTTCAACCCTCATCACATTGGGACTGATCAAGAACCCGTTTTGCTTTAAACATATTGAGCATATGTAAATACTGCTAATCATTACCAAAGTTAAAACAACAGTCCTCAACAAAACTGGATATTTCTTGTGAGGTTTTGTCCCAAAAGCATCCTGCAAGTGATGTTTAAAAGAAAAATCAAGCCAATTGGGTTCAAACATCTAACTTCTTAATTTGGCGATGATGGCCCCCGACTTAGGGCATCTCCAACCGAAAATTCCATTTTTCACTCCAAAATGCAGTGAAACTCGTGATTCATCTTCAATCGAACTCCATTTTGTGTGCTTCTGCGAAGGTAACCGTTTTTCTCCTCTTTCGCCCGTTTCTTTGGCAAATCCAGCTGAGACAGAAAAATTGAGTAGGTGAACAGTGCTATTGGCGTCGTACTATTCACCCGCAAGCAAATAGCGAAAGATTTGACGTTCGGCTGGAGCGATTGAACAACGATATAGGCATGTTTGGCGTTCGGTTGAAGATGCCCTTAGTAAATGATATTTTTTCCCCCATTTGGATTTAGCAAGAGTCCTAGAGTATGGCAATGAACTAGGTCTTGCCGTGAATAAAGTGCTTAAGCGAGTTTAAAAAATCATGAAGAAATTTTGTGTTGAAAATAATCAGGACAAAGAATACAAAAAATAGCTGGTTAAGCTCAATGAACCTTGGTTAAACGGGATGAAACTATAGGAAATTGTAGCCATTTAGGAACAGAGAAACATGAAATGAAAAAAAAAAAAAAACTACTAAATTCTCAAAAAAAATGAAAATGATAATACATGGAAATCCTACATGCAGAAGCAAACCAAAAACGACCAAATGTAGATTTAAAAACCATTCGGAAACCAGAAGATCATGCCCATCGTCATCAAAACCTAGAATGAACAAATCGTCCCAACTTCCCTTCTGATACAAAATGTAGAGCTTGTATTTGTTTAAAAAACAAGAAAAACAACCTAAACAGGGAAAAAATTTAAAAAAAAAAAAATCCAAGCAAATAAAATAAAATTATAAAAAGAAACCATCACCTTGTTGACCAAAGAGCAATCCTCCACCATCTTCCCTATCTGTCCTCCCACTTTCTTCCCGGTTTGCAGAAATGCATCAGAAGATCCTTCTCCTCTCTTCCTTTATATCAAAACAGCTTAGCGTCCCGTCTTCCTCTCCAACAATCAAACCTCACCGGGTAAATCGGATATTCATCGCGCCAAAAACCCTTCTTTGATCTTCATTGTTGTTCTTCCATACAAAAGCCGTTCCTTTACCCTCTCCCTGACCTCTCCTTCTTCTTCCTCCCGCCGTTTCTTTCCCGAACGACTGCAAGAACTTGCCCTCCTACGTCTGATTCTAGGGACGAAAAGCGGCCGGTGCGCGCATTACCTGCGAAAATGTTAAGTTTGTTACTACTTATCGGCAGTATTATTATAGTTAATTATATAGTCGTTGATTTAGTTTTCTTCATAGTAACCTGTTTTCAAATACTAAACTAAGTGAAATTTTGCTAGTTTATTAAGGCTATGAAGATCCAATTAAATCGATTAAATTTTGAATTTTCTATAAAATCAATTCAATCCAATTTAAAATTTGATTTATAAATCATTAGAAATAATTCATAAAAATCAATTGCTTCTAAAATATCTTTCAATAATGAGATATTATGATCAAAAAATGATTAGGATGAGGCTCAAAGCCTTTAGATCTACTTAATATTAAATTTATATTGCACTCGTTTTAAAGCATATGTAAAACTTTTGTGGTCTATCATAAACAGATTTTGGCCATCGTATTCTTATAAAAATTCTTTTTTAAAATAAATTTCATTTCAGTTGCATCGACAAAAATAACATTTAGGATAGCATGATAAAATTAGTCTGATTTTGGTACCATATTGAGCCTTGGGACATTTTGACTCTCAGATGAGGGCATAAACAACAATGAGTTGGTGATCGATGGGCTAACATTATAATCTTCTTAAGTGGGTATTTGCTAACATGCAAGGATGTTCAAGATGTGATATTTACTATCCATCCTTTTTTTAAGTGGTCACTATGTCAATTGCACGTGACCAACTATCTATAGCCCCAAGTGTCATTGGAATTTACTCATGTATGCAAGCTTGAATAGGATCAATCTTGCATTAATTGAACACATCAAATTTTAAATTAATCATGTTGCCTGATCTAGATCATACTATATGATTCATTTTCTTATATAATTTAATGAGCACAATAGTTTGCATGAATTGACCTTCGGACCATAAATTAAAATATTCCTATTATACAATCATCATCAAATAATATGATCATGATCAATTGATCATAAAGTACAATCAGACATCCCAAAGGATTATGGAAGAAGTCACTAATTTCACACCTTGAAGTGGGCATTGCTACCCAATAGATTTAATTGTAAAAATTGAAGTTTTTTAATGTGCAAATTGAATATTAGAAATAATTCAAAGAATTTTTCTCATGCTACACAACTAATATTAAGCCATGTATACAAATAGCATATAAGATAAAAAATTAAATTCAAATGGCTATGTTCAATCTACTTAAAAAAAAAATCAAAATCAGAAATTTATTTGTCATGTATATTTTGTTTGATCTTACTTATCATTTATGTGTAAAATGTAGACACATTTTCATATATCTAGTGCTATATGTAGACATGGCTTAATAATACTTATCACTTATGAATATCATCTAGTAAGAAAACTTTATTTATAGACATTCGTGGACTAATTAGTCTTTTTAGGCTTTGTTTGGGATAGCTTTAGACAACTGATTTTTTCCTGCTTTTAAGAGATTTTTATACTAAAAATCAGCTTTACAAAGTAATAAGAAAACCATCCCAAATAAAATCTTAGTCATATATTTTTATAGTGTTAATGATTGTACTATATTTACATAGGTTATATTTCTGACACATAAGAACGATTTATCTAATGAATTAAATTTTGTGCAATATGGATTCAAAAAAATGAGTATGTGTTATCTTATTTCAAAAATTCATTATGATTATGATAGTAAAAAAGTGCTTGTTAGAACATTATACCATACATTAGTCATTTCTAGGGCTTCAAACGAACCGAGCCGAGCCGAGTATGTGAGTGTTCATGTTTGTGTTCATTTAATATCAGCTTCATGTTTGTTCGAGCTTTTATTGTTTGTGTTCATGTTTGGTTCATTTAAATTAATGAGTGTTCATGTTCGGTTTATGTTCAGTTCATGTTCGTTCATTTAATGCTTATCGAGCATGTTCGCGAACATATTTAACGAATTTTTTTTAACTATCAAACAAATACGTTCATGAACATATCTATGAACAAACACATTTATAATAAAAGCAATTGTCTATGTAACAAAGACAATGATTATTTATATTTCTTAATTTTATAATCAAATATTAATTATTTTTATCTAGCTTATTCACGAGCTCAAAATCGAACACGAATTAAGCTTTTATCGAGCTTCTTATCGAGGTTAATGTCGAGCTTGTTCACGAACTTCAAATGATGTTGTTCGCGAACATAAATGAGCCGAACGCATTAGTGTTCAAGTTTGTTTATTTAAGAATCGAGTATTTAAAATATTGTTCAAGTTTGTTTGTTTAGCTAATTAAACGATCACAAACGAGCTTTAATCGAACCGAACGACGAGTAGCTCGTCGAACGTTTGGTTCGCTTGCAGCCCTAAATAAAGGGATAACTCTCCTCCTCTTCGATTTTTAAAAACACAATTTTTTTTTAATTTTTAAATATCATAATACCTATTTAAATTGATTTTTTTCATTAAATGCTGGCTGCCAGTTTTGCTTATGTCAAAATTTTTTGGATTAGGCTTGAATTGATCAATGAAATCATGTAAAAATAGACCTCTCTTACGGTCATTCTAATAATCCAATGGTGTGAATAAGCTCCGAGGCTGCTTAAATTAATTCCTTTTTATATGGCTTTAAGCTTCTGAAATTAATTAAGGTGGTGTGAACAATATTATTGGATCATAATATACAGAAATTATTATTTATAGTGTCCAAAGTTTATTAAATTTAGCAAAGCCATAATGACCAATAGAGTATTATTCTTTATTGATCAATATTTCATTTGGAATCCTCTATATCTAGAGCTAAGGATTAAGGAGAGAGAAAACTCTGCAAGAGTCTGCTCTTTTAATCTTGCTGTACTTATCCCAAGTTAATTTATATTAGTAGACTTCATCATAATGGATTTTTTTTTTTATTTTATTTCGCTTACTATGCTTTGGAATATATTATTTGTATTGAAAATTTGTAGAACTAAATTCAGATTTTTTTTTTATTTTTTATTTCAATGAACTTTCGATCAAATACAATGTCTTGATAAGATGAACTGAGTAACACTAAAAGTGATTCGATCTGAGTACATAACTAGATTAGGTTTTTGTTATTCATTCCTAAATATATATAATTTATTCTTGCTTGGTAAACATTTTTGTTCAATGAATCTTCTTCTCCCACACTTTTTCCTAAGGGTATCAATTTCAGGTCATGAGTCGGGTTCGGGTCGAACCTCAAATGGAACAGCACTATTTGGGT